TGACTGTATAAAGAAGATGTGGTATATATATACAATGGAATATTATTCAGCCATAAAAAGAATAAAATAATGTCATTTGCAGCAACATGGATGGACCTGGAGATCATCAGTCTAAGTGAAGTGGACCAGAAAGAGAAAGAAAAATGCCATATGATATCACTTATATGTGGAATCTAAAAACAAAAAAGAAGGACACAAATGAACTACTTATTATGTATAACTTAGAAGACTGATTTACTGAATATGTGTAAGCATATTTGACTGTCCTTTATGATTGGACTACCATATTCTGCTGATTCTTATTTTATAGTTGACTTTATTCCTTTGATAACTATGCAAGTTTAAAAAGCTAAGCTTTAAACTGTTCTTAGAAACAATGATCAGTACATATGATCAGTACAAATGATCAGTACATGTAAACTAAAAAAAAGTAAGTGCAGTATATTGTCTATACGTATTTACATGCAATATATTGTATATTTGCAGTCAAACTGTAACAATTCTACCTAATAAAACTGAAAAATGGAAAAGAAAAAAAAAGCAGCCCCATGGTCTGGATGTGGATAATCAGAATGCTGGGAATCAAGCCAAAATAAAATAATTCTGAAAGTGAAAGCCATACTAACATCAGGAAGTTATGGTGATCCTGAATTTATCAAACAGTGTTTTTCTTTGGGAAACTTCAAATTTCCCATATTCTGTGACACAGATGAGGCGCCTGCCTGCTACAACTTTCCTCTCCTTAACCATGTAATGTGCAGCATGTATGTTCATGTGGTTTCCCAAATTTCAGAGTTTGACTTGACCCTCATTCCTTTGCCTAGGACTGATTAGTAAGCATCAGGCAATAAAGCACCACGAGCCGCCATGACTTACTCAGCCAAGGTTCTAGGGGGACTGGTGTGGCTCCAAACAGCTCAGCAGCAGGAGGTAGAGCCTCAGGAGGAAGGACCACTGCTGGTTCCAGGGATGTAGCCACACCAGTGGGCAGAGTTTCTCAGGGCACAGTGACCCTCATTCACTCACAGAAGCCATACTGGAGGGTGGTGGGGGAAGATTTGCTGGGAAACATTCACAGCCCAGGTTCCCACCAGCACCAACTCCTCCCAACCTCACCATATGGGGGAATATCATGAGTTTCCCTTCCAGTTAAACTCAATGCTCCATCACATATTTGTTCAGGTCTTTTTATTGTTTATTTTTCCTTTGCCTTAATAGTTTCCTCAGTTCTATTTCTATTTTAATAGGTCCACATTCTGTACTGACTACCACCTCAAATACAGCTTTAGCATTAACAAATGTCAATTTGTAAGACTGTCCCCCAAATGAGTTCCATCACAGGTACAAAGAGTTGATCCAGGAGAAGTTCATACAGATTTTCCAGTTATTTCAAGTTCTTTTTCTCAGTTCATCTTTCCTCCAAACCACCCTCATCTCCTTCCTCCTCTCCATGTTCTCCTCCTACCACCTCAAATCTGGACTCTCAGCTTCCTTTCTCTCTGGTCTCAAACCTTGCCCCACCTCAGCCTGGTTGAGGGTTGAACTTGTTCCCCTTACATTCTCTGCACCACAACTTGGTGGCATATCCGTGTCCTTACCATGGAATTTTCCCGTGCCGGGTCCTCCTTCCCCAAGCAGGTTCAGCTCCTAACATCTTGCCTAACTCCTTGGTTCCCATCAATTTCCCCCAGGCTCACAGGTACCGAGGCCCCATCTCTGCACGCCCCTCCTTTCCCAACTGACAACATTCAGTAGCTTCCACTGTCCCAAAACCCTCCCTTGGGGCCCCATCCCTCAAGCAAAGCACATAATCTCTCTCAAAAGTGACAATAAAAACCTAAGCAGTGGTTCTCACTGCAAGTTCTTGAAGCCCCATATGCTAATGCTGATGAAATGCTACAAGCGAACACCAAGCCCCCTGGCCATGGATGCACAGTCACCAGGTGACCCTTTTCTCCTCTACTGCTAGCCATTACCTACTCCGAGTTACATTGTCAGAAGCACTTTCCTGTCCCTCCCTCAGTATCACTGAGAAGCAGCAGTAACTTAGTTCCCTTATCTGGGGCAGCCAGCAGGACAACCACAGGGAAATCAAAGGCGGGGTACAGGGCTGGCGGTGCTGGTTGGGGGGAGGGGGGGTGGAGGAAGCAGGAGAAGCAGGAGAAAACAACTTCCCGGTTTCTTTTAGCAGCTTAAGAAATTCTCTGGGGGTCTGGGGGAGCTTTCAAGTTGCTTTATTTTGGTTAGTCCCCGAGACCTGTGACTGGTGCGGCAGAGCCACGAGGAGGATAAACAGCGATTTATCTTGCCCTTATGGGTCAGGGACCGGCTGTTTAGAAGGAAGCCAGCCTTTCAACTGGCCCAGGCCATTCCCACAGCAACTCAGATGGTAGGTCGGGAGGCTGTGTCCTTCCCTCCTCACCAGAAACTCAGTCAAGTGGTAAGTATCGATGTATTTAACCAATTATGTCCATGCTGATGCTTAGGGTGGTTTCGCTTTTGCAAGCACTTATTTATATCCTTCGAGAGAAGAACTCAGACCTCTCCGCCTGTCACAGGAAGTTGTTACAGGGGGTGAGCAAACTTTTCAAACGCATAGAAATTGTGGCTGACATCAATTTTGTGAAACTAAGCCCCAGTACTTAGTTCTCTTTAATTGTGTATTTTCTTATATGGCTTTCTTACATAGGCAAGTCTTGTTTCTACTAAGAGAATGACATTCTATGAAGAAGAGTAATACTTACTTTAGTTTCCCTGCAGTAGCTCACATACTACTAAGCCCCTCAGTGCTTAATGAATAGATGAACTATGGTGGCTGCTCTCCGCTTATGTTTATTTTCAACCTTCTAAGTTGTAGGCCTGCTCTGGATAAAATTAAACACCAGAAAAGGTTGAGTATGGCTGCATAAATAATAAAAATAATCTTTCATTTGTCCACAGGGCAACAGCCTGAAGATGGCTAATTACACGTCAGCACCAGAGGATGAGTATGATGTCCTCATCGAAGACAATCTGACTAACAACGAAATAGAACCATGCACCTCATATGACCCCAAGATTCTCTTGGTCCAGCTGGTGCCTCACCTCTACACCACGTTGTTCATCGTTGGCCTTCTGGACAATATCTTGGCTGTGCTTATCCTGGTAAAATATAAAGGACTGAAGTATGTCGAAAATATCTATTTCCTCAACTTGGCAATTGCTAACTTGTGTTTCGTGCTCACCTTGCCATTCTGGGCTTACACAGCCTCACATGGTGGGGTTCTTGGAAACCCCCTGTGTAAAATTCTCGTGGTATTCTATTCCACAGGCCTGTACAGTGAGGCATTTTTCAATGCCCTTCTGACTGTGCAAACCTACTGTAAGTTTTTCGATGTGAGGTTTTTCTCTGCCTCCAGGACAGTGGCTGGCAGCACCATCACAATGGCTTGGGTCGTAGCCATTTTGGTCACTTTGCCTGAACTTGTGTTTTACAAACCTCAGCTGGAAAGCCAGAAATACAAGTGCTTCCTTAGCAGACCTCACTTCCTTCCAGCTGATGAGACATTCTGGAAGAATTTTCTAACCTTAAAGATGAATATTTTGGGATTTCTCTTGCCACTGTTTGTTTTTGTAGTTTGCTACATGCGAATGAGGAAAACACCAAGGTTCAGGGAAGCAAGGCATGACATTTTCAAGCTTGTTTTCACCATAATGGTTGTTTTCCTTCTGATGTGGGGCCCCTACAATATTGCGCTTTTCCTGTCTGCTTTCAACAAACACTTCTCCCTGCATGACTGTGACAGCAGCTATAACCTGGACAAAAGCGTTCAGATTACGAAAATCATCGCCACCATCCACTGCTGTGTCAACCCTCTCCTCTACGTGTTTCTCGACGATGCCTTTAGGAAACACCTCCGCCGCCACCTTTGCTGTCTGTGTGATGACACTGCACCTCAACCCACTGAGGAATATGCCCAAGACACATCAAGGGGAGAACATCACCTTTCCACTAACATGTAAACTAGCTCCTGTCCTTTGGGTGAGATAAGTAAACATCAATTTTTGTCTCGTTGCATTGTTCTGTGTGATATTTTTTGCACATCTGTACATAAAATAGGAAGATTTTAGGATTCAGGAAGAAAAGGGGGAGGCGAACAAACATTTACCAAGCTCTGAATTTGTCTCAGGCACTGTGCTAGGTTCTTGACAAATGTGGCCTGCTCCACGCCCCAGTGCTTATTCATGATATAGACAGAATTAGTCTCATTTCTCTGGGGAGGAAAACAGAGGCTCAGAATTTGTCTAAGATCACACAGCTAGAGAGTGACTGGGCTGAGACACAAACCCGAGTGCCAGTCACTCCAGAGTGTATGCTTTGTCCAGCATGCCAAACTTTCAAAATTTGGGTAAAAGACAACACATGAAACAAATATGTTCTTTTAAAACCAGCTGGACCACATTCCAAATTAGAAGCCACTCATTCACACTGAAGTAATTTACCAGGCACATTTTCTTTCAGGTAATTGAAAGAGCTGGCTAGCTGGAGGCTATGGATAAAAAGAGGAAAAGAGACTTGTCCTGCGAAAAGTTCTCTGGGTTTTCTTGGCTACTTGCCGCACCTCTGCGGCCCCCAGATACCCTCAACCTGTGAGCTTCCCAAGGTTTCTAGTACTTCCTCTTCCTATTTAACAATAGTAAATGTAAGATTATGTCTAGAAATGTTCAACACAATGCATGTTTTGTCCTTTTCAGTGTAATATACACCACAGGCCTCAGTGGCCTGAGCCTACAAAATGTCACAATAAGCATTTGCCTGAGACATCCAGTGCCCATTTTCAGTTACATATTCCAAGGAGAGTTGACAGATAAAATACAGGATGCCCGTGGACCAAAACATCTCACCTCCATCACTGAGGATGGAGGAGGAGGCGGCCCCTGTGGGAGACCCTATAGGGAGTGCACAATCACTGGCTCTTCTGTGTCCTCACCAGCAGCTATAAGTGAAATGTTTCCCCTAAACATTTACATGTTGAAGCCCAAGCCCCCATGTGATGGTACTTGGAGATGGGGCATTTGGGAGGTAAGAAAGTTTAGATGAGGCCATGAGGGTGGGGCCCTTGGGATGGAATTAGTGCCCTTACAAGAGGAGACATCAGAAAGCTTACTGTGTCTCTCTCTCTGCACTATGTGAGGACTTAGCAAGAAGGGAAGCCAGGAAGAGAGCCTACACTAGAACCCTTCCATGCCAGCACCCTGAGCTTGGACTTCCCAGCCTCCAGTACTGTGAGAAATAAATTTCTGTTGTTTAATCCACCCAGTCTATGGCATTTTGTTAGTCAGCTTGAGCTCACTAAGACAGGCTCATTCTGAATGACACTAAGTAGCAAGTAAAAATACTGTGACAAGTTGAGAGTGGGACCTCAGAAGAAAGTATCCTAGCAGATGTGAAAAGAGAGTTAAAAAGTTCAAGAAGAGGAAAAGGATAAGGGACAGAAAAATTCTCTTCACAAATTGATACAAGCAGGTCTGGACTCTCCATCCACTTCTACCACATGTGGGATAAAATCTCAGAGAAAATTACATCATTTTTGGATGTTTACAGATACATTGATGAACCCAAAGAACAAATCATTTCAGAATTTTCAGAATGAAAACATGGAATGTATAGAGAATAAATTCTTAAAGTGACTGAGAGTGACATGGTTATTGAAAATCAACCAGCTACAACAACCTACACACATAAATAGTATATTTGAAACATTGATGATCCAGCAAGGTCTTCTTCTCCTGTCAGAGCAAGAAGACAGTTGTCCTAAAGATAAAAATGACACATGCTCACATTATTTACAGTAGCCAAGAATAGAAGCAACCTAAATGCAAATCAGGTGAATAGATAAGGAAGATATGGCATATGTATATATATATATACACACTTAACTCAGACATAAAAAAGAATGAAATTCTGCCATCTGCAGCAATGTGGTTGGACCTACAAAATATTATGAAGTAAGTCAGACAGAGAAAGACAAATCCTGTATAATATCACCTATATGAGGAGTCTAGAAAATAATACAAATGAATGTGTACGCAAAACAGAAAACAGACTCATAGATATAGAAAACAAACTTGTGGTTACCAAAGGGCGAGAGGCAGAGGGGGAGGGACAAATTATGGGTATGAGATTAACAGATACAAACTACTATGTATAAAATAGATAAGCAACAAGGATATATTGTATAGCACAGGGAATTATAGCTGTTATCTTATAATAACTTATAATGGAGTATAATCTGTAAAATACTGAATCACTATGCTATTCACCTGCAACTAATATAATATTGTGAAATAACTATACTTCAATTTAAAAAAAACACATGCTTTTTCACTCTTACACAAACTATTGCATTAGAAAATTAACAGTCAATAAAAAGCCAAGGAGAAGGTGTCTAGCATATTCAAGAAAAACTGACAGTGTTTCTGTTTTGCAAGTAAATTATTTTCTAATGCAAAAAAAATTTCCTCTCAGGTCAAGTTCATTCTGATTTGGGACATTAGAGAAAGACTGAACTGTCATGAGAAATCTCTGATTCATCTGAACTCTGTATTTGTGGGTACAAATGGAATGAATTTGAAAATGGAAACACAATTGATAGAGTGAAAGAAAAAGCAATAAAATTTGAAGTTGAAAAAATACAGGATTCCCAGTTAATTTTGAATTTCAGTTAAGCAACATATAATTTTGTCTGTTCCTTTTTTCAAATGTGCTATGGCTACATTAGCCCAAGTTATTCTTCCTCCTCAGAACTTTCCTGGTCTCAGGCTCCCACACCAAGTCAATAGGACTTTGTCCATTTCAGTGTACGTTCACAGACATATCTGTACCACATAACTGTCCTTCAAAGAAAACTGAGTCTCATCAGCCTCATTTTACAAGTGTGGAAACTGAGGCTTAAACCACACAGCTCTCAAGGCTCAGAATCTGGGCTTGATATCTTCTGACATCACCTCCAGTGCTCTTTCCCAATGTTCATACCAGCACTATTTACAATGGCCAAGATATGGAAACAACCTAAATATCCATTGACAGAAGTTGTGGTATGTTTATATAATGGAATACTATTTGGCCATAAAAATAATAAAATAATGCCATTTGCAGAAATACGGATGGACCTGGAGATTGTCATTCTAAGTGAAGTAAGCCAGAGAGTGAAAGAAAAATACCATATGATATCTCTTATATGTGGAATCTTAAAAAAAAAAAAAGACAAATGAACTTATTTACAAAACCGAAACAGACTCGCAGACACATAAAACAAACTTATGGTTATCAGGAAGGGAACGGGGTGGGAAGTGATAAATTGGGAGTTTGAGATTTGCAGATATAACTACAATATATAAAAAAGATAAACAACAAGTTTATACTGTATAGCACAGGGAACTATAGTCAATATTTTGTAGTAACTTATAATGAAAAAGAACATGAAAATGAATATATGTATGTACTTTCATGACTGAACTATTATGCTGTACATCAGAAACTGACACACTGTAAACGGACTATATTCAATTAAAAAAAAATCCAGTGCTCTTTCCTCTCCTCCACCCACTACTTCCTTGTCTACAGAGCTTGGTTTATAGAGTGAGTTCCTGTACATACTGCACTGGATTTTTCAAAACAGTCCAAAGGATTGGGAGAAGGCGGGTCCTAGGATTTCTGCTCCCCTCAGCCACCAATTTATAGACCCTGAGAAAAGCAAAGTTCTCCAAAGAACCATCTCTGGCACATCTAACAGAAGAAAACCTTTGATCTAAATTTCAGGCGCCGAATCCCTTGATTTTTCCCTGTGATGTGGCCTTTAGCTATGAGCAGGACCATGAGTCACCTCCCTGGAGGCCTCTGCCATGCCTGCCTGGGGAGAGGATGGGAAGGGATGTCTGTCTTCCTGTGGGACCCAACACAAGCCATCTGGTCTCCTGGTGCCTCAGACAACTGGGAATAAGACACCTCCCCTCGCAGGGCTGTTGGCCAGGATGAGGTCTGAGTGAGCAGCACAATGACAGGCCCTTGGGAAACTGTCCACACACCAAGCAATTTTCCTCACTCCCTCCACAGATTCTGCCTGTACCCTGATGACGCTAAAATTTCATTTCTCACAGGCCTCCTCCTCCTCATATTGGCCTTCTGCAGCTGCTCCAGGTAAACGACTACTACAGTTTGACAAAAGGATGTGGGGACATGTGGCTCAGCCCCTGCTGCTTTGTTTGAGGTAGCAGTGAAGAGGATCAGCTCATTTCATTCACGTCACTTACAACAAAATGTGTTTTCCTCTGCCTTCAACCATGCGGGCCGCTCAACAGTTTTGCTCTTTGTCTGTGGACAGCCCTTCCTACCAGAGCCCCTGCCCGCGCACTCTTTCAGGCGCTCATCTTTGCAGTGCACCTGCCACACACTTCCTGGGGGTGCACCCAGCTTGCTCACCATGACTCAGGACCTTCCCCAGCTGCCCCATGCAAACAGACCCACCCTCTTCCGCAAAGCACACAACCCAGGTCCCCAAGCTTGCGCCAGTTCCATCTGACGACGAGCTGTATGCTGTACTTACTGTCTTCACTCTCGCCTCTGAAGGACTCTGGGGCAGAGTCTGTCGAGTTCATCTCTGCAGGAACTAGAAGAGATGGGATGTGGTGATGGACGAGGAGGCCAAGTGAGAGGTAGTAGCCAAAGCAGGCGCTGTTATTCCCCAGAGAGAGGTGACACTCACACCTGTGAGGGACGGCAAAGAGGGGTTGACTGCCAAAGGGTAATGGAAGCACTTCCTTAAAAGGAAAGTTCCAAGGAAAACTGGGAAAATACGAATATGAGCAAAACATCAGGTGATATAGAACTGACATTTTCAAATGTGACAATAAAATTATGATTATGTGGGAGAATGTCCCTATACTTAGAGGACACATGCTTAAGAATTTAGGAGTGAAATGTCATGGTGGCTGCAACTCACATTCAAACAGTTCGGTCACACACACACCAGGTACGTGTAAAGAAAGCGA